CCGTGAGCCATGGCCGCTGAGCCTGCGCGTCCGGAGCCTGTGCTCCGCAACGGGAAAGGCCACAACAGTGAGAGGCCCGTGTACCGCAAAAAAAAAAAAAAAAAAAAAAAAAAAGAGATTACTTGCTTGCTATGAATCTCTGTAGCATCACATCAGGAAGCACATACTGTTTAGTGACTCACCTGTCAGCCTGATCCATCACACTACTGAATTGTTACTCCGGCAAAGACCACCAGAACACGCCTGTAGTTGAACAAGATGTGTTTATTACATGTTGTAATGAAGAGAATGCTCACCAGAGGAACCATGGGACATCTCAGAGAGTGTTAGAAAGGACTTGTTATAGGACTTGGGCTTATGCTTGGTGATTTTAGGGAAGGCTTTTAAGGAATTGGGGCTTTGCTCTGGATTAGATGCTGTCAGAAAGCATGAGTGATTGGGCATTTTAGTAAGTCTTATCCGGCAGGAGGAAAGACTGAATAGAGCCTAAGGCTACAATTTGTAAAGAAGCAGCGCCACTTATAATAGCCAAGATAGAGATGTTGTGGTTTGGACAGTGTTCATTTTTTGTGTTTAGGTGTGATTACACAGTAGGCTTGTTTTTGTCTTGATCCATCATGGTCACAGAGTAAACTTGTCTGATGTTTTCTGTGAAATTGTTTACATTCAACAAGAGAACAACAAAGCCCAGCTGATAGTACCAGGCCAGCTCCCGGATACTAGGGGCTGCTCTTCTCTTTCTGAGAATGGCCCTCTGACCAGCAGTATTGGCACCATGTGGTAGCTTGTTTTAAATGCAGAATCTCAGGCTCAACTCCAGAACTACTGAATCAGGTTCTAGAATTTAATATCCTCAAGTGGTTTATATGCACAGTAAAGTTTGAGAAGCTCTTAATGCTAGACTTCCCCATTTTAGCTAATGGCTTTAGTACCTGTTGATGGTTATGCTTAGTCTAGAATTTGTTAGGGGTTACAAACTAGTGGTATGCTAATTCTATCCTACATTTTGCATGTATTAGCTGGTACTCTCCTGAAAGAAGCAGTTTTCCAGATCAACTTTTTGAGTACCCTGTGATAATTATTTGAACAAAAAATCAGGATAAATTATTTATTCTTTTTGTTTATTTACTAATGTTCTAATTTTCAAAATAATGAGTTGTTTATCATCTCCCACATATGATCAGGGAGGTGGTTTGGGGCTTTTTTAAAGTATCATATCAACACATGGATTTAAACATAGTTGACATGTTTCAATCTACTATTGTAATTATACTTTTTGAACAAAATGTTCCATCTTTGACAACTGGGAGCCTCTTCAAATTTCTCCTATATCCTTTTGCGACAAACCCAAGAGTCCCTCGTAGATTTCTTGTTTTGGAGCAGGACTAGATGTTCCAACCTTATTTTGTATGTTTCCTGTACCCTGACTTAGAACCAGATATTTCTCTAAGAAGATTTGATTCTTTCTAAGCGGGAAATTTATTTAGAGAACAAAATGTGGACACTGAGTGTTTTCATTACTATTGTATTGGTCATTGTTTCTACATATTTTTATTTGTTTTGAAGGAGAAATAATATCACAAATTCATATTAATATTGTTACTTCCAATTTAGGATTATAGAAATTTAACTTAACTGCCTTGAATTTATTTTGCATTTAAATTTTTCTTCTGCCTACTTTTCTTCTTTCTATTACATTAATATAATTTCTTACTTCCTTTAAATGTATATTTTCAAATTTACAATACACATATTATTACTAAAAATATGATTATTGAAAACTGCTTAGATTACATTGTGGTTCTTTTTAACCTTTGTGTATATGCCACTAGGATGAACAGTTAAAAATTACTCTGTTTTAAGAGCTCTTGAAATAATCCTCTGTGTGGGTAAGCCACAAGTCAATTATACAATAATGTTAATTTGTTTCATTTTGCTTTTAATTGTTGTTTTAAAATTAGATTAAATATCTACAGAATTCCAAAATGAAAACCATAGGACAAAAGAAGAGAAATCTAACTTCTAGACCTGTCCTCTCTTTCCTAATTTTTCAACCATTTTGGTTGGTTCTTAGTTTACGCTTCTATTTTTATTTTTTTAACATCTTCATTGGAGTATAATTGCTTTACAATGTTGTGTTAGTTTCTGCTTTATAACAAAGTGAATCAGCTATACGTATACATATATCCCCATATCCCCTCCCTCTTGCGTCTGACTCCCACCCTCCCTATCCCACCCCTCTAGGTGGACACAGAGCACCAAGCTGACCGCCCTGTGCTACGCGGCTGCTTCCCACTAGCTATCTATTTTACATTTGGTAGTGCATATATGTCCATGCCATTCTCTCACCTCACCCCAGCTTACCCTTCCTCTCCCCGTGTCCTCACATCCATTCTCTACATCTGCATCTTTATCCCTGCCCTGCCCCTAGGTTCATCAGAACCTTTTTTTTTTTTTTTAGATTCCATATATATGTGTTAGCATACGGTATTCGTTTTTCTCTTTCTGATTTACTTCACTCTGTATGACAGACTCTAGGTCCATCCACCTCACTACAAATAACTCAATTTCGCTTCTTTGTATGGCTGAGTAATATTCTATTGTATATATGTGCCACATCTTCTTTATCCATTCACCTGTCGATAGACACTTAGGTTGCTTCCACGTCCTGGCTATTGTAAATAGTGCTGCCATGAACATTGTGCTACATGTCTCTTTTTGAATTATGGTTTTCTCAGGGTATATGCCTAGCAGTGGGATTGCTGAGTCATATGGTAGTTCTATTTTTAATTTTTTTTTTTTTTTTTGGCGGTATGCAGGCCCTCTCACTGTTGTGGCCTCTCCCGTTGCACAGCACAGGCTCCGGATGGGCAGGCTCAGCGGCCATGGCTCACGGGCCCAGCTGCTCCGTGGCATGTGGGATCCTCCCGGACCGGGGCACGAACCCGTGTCCCCTGCATCGGCAGGCGGACCCTCAACCACTGCGCCACCAGGGAAGCCCTATTTTTAATTTTTTAAGGAACCTCCATACTCTTCTCCATAGTGGCTGTATCAATGTACATTCCCACCAACAGTGCAAAAGGTTTCCCTTTTCTCCACACCCTCTCCAGTATTTATTGTTTGTAGATTTTTTGATGATGGCCATTCTGACTGGTGTGAGGTGATACCTCGTTGTAGTTTTGATTTTCATTTCTCTAATGATTAGTGATGTTGAGCATCTTTTCATGTGTTTATTGGCAACCTGTATATCTTCTTTGGAGAAAAATCTATTTAGGGTTCTGCCCATTTTAGATTGGGCTGTTTGTTTTTTTGATATTGAGCTGTGTGAGCTGCTTGTATATTTTGGAGATTAATCCTTTGTCAGTTGCTTTGTTTGCAAATATTTTCTCCCATTCTGAGGGTTGTCTTTTTGTCTTGTTTATGGTTTCCTTTGCTGTGCAAAAGCTTTGAAGTTTCATTAGGTCCCATTTGTTTATTTTTGTTTTTATTTCCATTTCTCTAGGAGGTGGGTCAAAAAGGATCCTGCTGTGATGTATGTCATAGAGTGTTCTGCCTATGTTTTCTTCTAAGAGTTTTATAGTGTCTGGCCTTACATTTGATATGCTTCTATTTTTAACTCTAAGCAAACAAACATGAACACGCTCGACTATATACTACAGCACACATGGTTCATCACCTTGCTCTTCTTTAATTAACAGTATTTTGAAGAGCAATCCATAGCAACATATTAAGAGTTTTCTCATTTTCTTTTATAGCTGCAGAGTATTCCATAGTTTATTCAACCAGTTGCCTGTTAATGGACATTTGGGTTCTCTTTTGCCTTTTGCAATTATGAATGATGTTACGGTTAATAACTTTAAAAGTAATAGCTTTCCACATTTTGCTCCTGTTTCTTTGGGATAGATTTATAGAAACGGGTTAAAAGGTATTTGTAATTTCCTAGATGCCAATTTCCTCCCCATAAAGTTTGTACCATTTTGCCTTCACACCAGCAATGTATGACAGTATCTGTTCTGTACAGCCTTGCCAATGCAGAATTCTGTTACAATTTTGGGTTTTTGCCCATACAATAAGTGAGGATTTGTATCTCTCTGTGGCTTGACTTAATATTTCTCTTAATATGAGTAATATATGTTTAGGGAACATATGCATTTTTTTTTCTGAAAAGCAAATGTTTATAAGATGCCCTTTTCCAGTAGGGTTGTTGGTCTTTTATTTTTCATGCTTCTGAAGCCCTTAATATACTAAGGATATTAACCCTTTGTCTGTAATATAAGTTACAAATATTTTTTTGCACATTTTCATCTGTCTTATTTTGCTTATGGGATGGGGGAGGAAAAAGCATTTTTTAATGTATGTTGTTGACCTGCTTCCTGGAAGAGGATGAAATGAAAGTACGTCTCAGATTTGGAACCCGTGGTGTCGATTAGAAGATCAGAGTTCCAGAGTGGTGTACAGGGAGAGACCATTCCACCTCCAGGCCTAGGGAAGACCTGGCC